TATGTAGCCCGTCACTGGAGACGACGAACCGTTTGCAGTAGTAATGTGTGTTAAGTCCCATGACTTATGTACAGTACCAAGGCCAGAAAAATGTTTTATTGCATTGTTACCTACAATAGATATTTCAGAACCAGAGTCTAGCAAGCCTATATATTTTAATTCATAAATAGAAATTTTTAAAAATGGACGGGCATCCCCTCTTGTGTTTTGAATCGGCGCTGTCAGATGTTGACATTCATTTTGACACTTTATAATAATGTTTTGTTTATTATTATCGAAAAACCGTCGAATTACTTCCAACCACGAATCCCATTCGTGTTTAGACAAAAATTTATAACAGCGCCGATTCACACCTTCCCGTTTTTTGGAACCGAAGAATTCGTAGCTTTTCCCTGGGAGCACTCGGGACACGATCTTGCCGTCACCCCTTTCCGGCCGCAACGATAACAAACCAAAACATGAGCTTCCCGGCATGTCCCAAGATCATGCCCTTCGACACGGCAACGCACACAGAACTTATCATTTCCCACCAGTTGCACGGCTGAGACCTTAGGCAGTTGCCTATTATTGCTATTCTTATAACTCAGATCTGGAGCTAAGCAAGCCTGGGTTATTTTAGGTGGTTCACTAAAATGTTGGGAACGCTCCTTGGCACCTTCCAGAAGTCTACATTTGCGTTTCAAATCTGTCCAGGACTCTATGGGATTCAAAGCTAATTGTGTAGTGTAAAAAGGTCTAATATTAAAAAGAACAATATTCAATTTCTCTTCCTCTGAGAGCGACTTTGACAACCGAGTAAAATAGTTCTGCATAATGCTAAGATAATTCACTATGCTTTCATCGGAACCCTGAGTGCGAGACCGGATCTCTTGTAATAAACGATGATCATAATCTGATGGTAAATATTCATCAAGAAGCAAGGTTTTCAACCCTAACCAGCTATGTACTTCGGATTGCACCCCACGATACCAACAAAGAGCCTCATCTGTAAACAATTCAGCTGCAGAATTGAACAATTTACCATCTGTTACACCACGAGACAAACATAACTCCTCTAAACGCTGCAAGAATGCCTTTACACAGGTTTTCCCATTAAACCGTATGTTTAGTTTATGTACGGCAGCACCAGAGTCAGGGGAAGCATTCCCAGGGCGTTCAGAAGCAGAATGGACTCTGCTATTCTCTTCCGGAGGCACCTGAGTTAAACTACTCTTAAAATGGTGCATAATGTTATCTAACTTAACCAGAAACTTGTCTAGACGTTCTTGCAGCGCTTCCAATTGAGAGGCGATGCTGTCATCATTATCAGAATCTAAGCGACTAAGTCTATGAAATAAGTGATGTGCTAATGATTGTATTCTGTTCAGTGCTTTAAGGGAACTAGCTCTAGAAGAAGTTTGAGAAGTAAGATCATCTAAACTGTCTAATTTCTCCCTAATAATATCCAACTCTGATTCTATCTCTACTTCACAAGTTAATATTTCATCAGAAGGTAAATCTTTATTTAAAGCACGTACTTGTGCCTTTAAAGCAGGCACCCCGTCCACAGGCTTCGCACCCCTAATTCTGACTTCATATTCCAACTCATCTTTGTGTAACAAGTTAAAAGTGATTGGCCTCTGTTCCATTTTGTAAGTTAAAATTACTCCTAGTGTGGCAAAATAAATAAACGTTCAATAAGAAAGTGTAATTAATATGATAATAAAATCACCTACCTGTTAAGATATATCAGTTAAAATAGTAGTGTTGTAACAAGTGTGGTTTCACACCTGAGGGTTGAAAATTGTTAGGTTCTAAAGGATTAGGTTTCTCAATGTTAGGTTTCTTCTTGTTAGGTTCAAAAAAGTGAGGTTGGTGAACTAACCTACCAAAAATCAGTACACAAGAGGGTTTTTTTTTTTCTTTAAATAAGGGTATAAAAAAGTAAATATGACTTTTTTTGATTGTAAATTTTGAGCCAATATCGATCATCCGATGTTACAAATTATTATGTTTACAACACAGTATAACCAGATGAACAAATCTTTGGATATAAGCCAAATAATTCAGAGAAAAAAGAAAAATTAAAAAAAAATCACCAATATCGATCAACCTTTTTTGAGCAATCAATGACCAAAAAAAGAGCAAAGTAAATGCTACAAAGCCTTGTTTCCACTTGTTCGGGCGCCACATGTGATGTTAAATTCTCCTCCACGGCCCTCTTCTAGCTCACTCAGAGCACCGGGGGAACAATAAAAGAAAACCAAAAAATTAACATAATGTTATAAGTATATTTTATCCACTTTAGATACCAAAGCATAGGAATTCAGTAGTTTTAAGTTATTGCTTATATAAATCAACAAGCCCAACTATGTTTATTATTTATATAATAACTATGTTTCACTAATTATAAATATCTAAGCTGAATACAGTAGTTCAAAGTTAATGTGTATATAAACCAACAAGTTGTCATGAAAGGTTATAATTATATGAATATCAGACATTCAAAACACTTTACCATGTACTTACATGAATTCTCAACTATATCTAATATATTTTATCCACAAATACCACATAGACTAGACTGAATAAGCTATTTAGTGGATTTCAGAGGTTCTACGGCTCGTTTGATCGATATTGGTGACAAACTTAGTTGATTCTAGTTCTCAGTGAGATAACCAGTTATATAGATATATGTATATATATGGAAATGGGTAAGTCGGGGTCCAACCTCGCCTGGCGGTTCTTCTCCACGCTCACCCGGGGTTAGTAGAGAAATACCTTGATTATGATAGGGTTAGCTGTGTATAATCTGTCTGCTGTTACGGCCGGGTTACATAAAACCGGAGAGCGGCTGGCAAATAAACTCCCGCGTCCCTTCTGGTCCGTGTACAGAAAAAAAGTCTCCTTGTTAGTCCTCCAGTATTTCTTGAGGGGAACGTACAAGCCTGAAGTTCACATTGAAAAAAAATGATCAGATATGGGGAAAACACATAGATTGCCACATCGGTAGTGGGTGAGGGAGTGAGGGATATTCACGGTCAATGTTTACACTTTAAAATTTGAATCACTACATGACTGGGGCCCGTCCCACCGGGTTGAAGGAAATCAATTCCATGTTCACTAACTTGACAAGAATGATTAGGTATATTTGATGACAAGAATCACTATATTGTGCATAATGCAGTTCAATTAGTGCTAGGAGAATAAATATGAGGTCAGATGATAGCTTACCGTTCGAAATATGAAACTATCCGTAAGTATTTTGTTTCCTATCACAAGTTACCGCCTTATTATGGCAACGCCTTGCGAAGGTTCGTGTTCGTCCACCTACGATACAGAATATCAACAGAAAGGTTATTTTTCACAGCCCAAACTTGCAAAATAAGTAGGAAAAAGGGTTACTCCAATGTCTGTGAAACTCAGTTCGGTTAGCGACTCCGCGCTTTTTCCGCCAATATCTTTCAGGATATAAACTTTTCGGATCTATTTCACGACTCCGATGACTATAATATGCCTTTTATTATACTTTGGGCAGAAGAAAAGATGAAAAGTTAACTGTACCACAAACAGATTGTGAAATTTTAAATGTTGTTTTGACAATTGCTCATAGATGATAGACGGGTCGTCCACTCCCAAACATGTGTCTATGATTTGTTTCCCACTTCAACTGAAGGCAAAGGCCACAGTCAAACAGACAGCCGCCGCATTCGAGACGAACCGAAGAATAAACTCAAAACTATATACCTACGCTCGCCGTAAGCTGAGGAAAAGGGAATACCTACCCAAATCAGCGAGGAAATTCAATTTCGAGTAAAATTCAAAATCGATTAAAAACAGCACCCGATAAGGAGGACTCAAATCGATCTGGGAAAGACTATTCAAAATTCAACAACTGTCAAACTCCATCCATTCATCCACGCGCCCGCACAGAGATTCACTGCCTGATTACTTTTTTTTTTTTTTTTTTTTTTTTTATAAGTCTCAAGGCGAATATTTTAGTCGAATAGGAAAATCGACTCTTCCCTCAAGGCTACCAACCCAATCAATGAAGTTTGACAGCTACGCTGACGTAAGCGGTTCGCTATCATAGACAAAACAGCTGTCCTACGTGTGTCAGTGTCACGCTCTGTTTAAAAACAAACACTACAACTGTTTGTAACTATTTTATTCTGTTCCAACATACGTAGTGAATGAATTGATTATCGCCGACTGAGCTGATTGTACGATCTAATTACCGAGGATTTTTTTTTGTTTTTTTGGTTGTTTTTCTTTTTCATGTATGTCTTATTAAAATAGAAAATTATAATTTGAAAGTCGTCACTCCAAATCTAATTTTCATCACGCCCAAAAGTATATCACTTCATAAATACAAAACTAAATTGTTAATAAAACTGTCAAATGCACAAATTTATAAAGTTTAACGTGTTTTTAAATTTTTGTCATCGTTGCAAGGAATTAAATGAAAATAGAAAATCGTAACGGAAATTATAGGAAGAACACCTTGTTGCGGGAATGACCGATTTACGGACTCTCGCCACTACAATATCACTTAGAAGTCCATACTTGATTACTTTCTATTTGTTTAACGTGTCTATTAACCACTGTGTTAGTTTTTTTTATCCCTTCGCATTACACTTTCTCTACGGGAAAATGGTAGTAGAAAGCTCAGAAATCAGCAACAGCAGGTTTGATAGAACTATTTTGTTTTTTTTTTATAGATAAGACCGACAAATGACTCCACCCCATATATAGATATAGCAGTTCTACCTGCCACACCAGCCATCCTCAACCTGCCGGCCTGCATGCTGCTTCTTCAAGCCTCTTTAATGGATCCCAGTTTGTAAGAGGGATGGAATACGTGAGCGGAATCTGCCAGTGGAAGAGAAACCTAAACCATTTTCCGCCAAGCCAATTTTGTTTTAGCTCAATCGACTTCGTATTAATTCGATCGGTCGTATTCGTATGATTGATTAAAACCGGGATTTTAATGTCGGACATAACGGCTTGTTTAATGATAGGTGCCACATATCCATTGATTGTAACTGCGAAGTAGATTAGACCCTTTCAGTGTGTCTAGCAGTCTGGCATATTGAATTTAGGAATTTGTCTGGTTGATAAATTAAATTCAACCAATACGGGAGAGAAATTGACTTAGAGAGCGAAAGGTTAATAATTTAAGGCTCTGAATTCAGATATTATATACTTAGGTTGCGTTGTTTGAAACATAGTTAAATTTGACTATAGTTAATGTCACGTCTAAACAAATCTTATCTTCATTTTTATTATAAGAATGATTAAGATATTGCTACGCATACAGACGAAGAGTAGAAAGTACACTAAAATGTAATAAAAATATAAGTTTTCCATCCCGCAGTGCCAAAAGTGGAGATCATTGACGAACGCGGTCGTCCGCTACAAGACAAGTTCTACAAAGAGGGTTCCATCATCGAGCTGAGGTGCGTGGTCAGCGAGGTGCCACAGCCCACCAGACAAGTCAACTGGAAGCATGGCGCTCGCCTCCTAAACTACGACACGAAGAGAGGGGGCGTAAGGTTAGTAGTTTTTCTTCTATTTGTAATTGAGACACATACGCGCTCAACCATACGAACACACACAATTACCCATACACATACACACACAGAAGGAATGACCCACGCATGCACACAAAAACAAACGAAAGCAATATTGCTCATATTGCTTTCGTTTCGTTATGACACACTGAAATACCCCGACACACACATACTTCACATCGTTTCCCGAACAGTGAAGGCAGGCAAAGAAAAGTTCAGAGAACAAAGTGCCCAGATATTCATCTTTCGACACAAAGAAGGTTCTGTCATCGAGCTGAGGTGCGTGGTCAGCGAGGTGCCAAAGCCCACCAGACAAGTAAACTGGAAGCACGGCGTTCGTCTCCTAAGCTACGACATGAAGAGAGGGGGCATGAGGTGAATCTTCCATTTGTAATTGAGGCACATGCACACTCATCCATACAAACACACTTAAGCGCACACACATGGAGAGAGAGAGAGACGCACGCACGTCGCAAACGTATGCACTCACACACAACGCACTGATTTTCCGAGCAATATGAGTACGCACGCACACACATACTTCACATCGTTTCCTGAGCTTTGAAGGTAGGCACGTATAACAGAGCGCAGATGATACGAGGAGTGGTGCGGGGAGATAGACCTTGAATGTGATTTTTTGAAATTCTTGACGTACGAGAGTTAACTGACAGCAGAGCTAAGTAGGTATGTTCGGCTTAACTCGTAGTTCTTATTTTAGGACAAGTTATTTCACGCGCGCAAAACTTATTACATAACTGTCCAATAAGAGAATATAATTTTTTCTCAAGGGTCTTACTATTTATATTGTGTGTTCATCTCATAACAATTTTTTGATTGGAAAAAAATCATTTTATAATGTATTTTATTGTCTTCTATTATAATATTATCAACATACGAACTAAAATTTCTTTGAACCTATGACCGTTTGGTATAAACTTTGATACCACCCAACCAATGTGCCCCATAACGGTTTAATTTGAAAGGCAATGCGAAGATAGTTTATCAGAACATTAAAAATTGATAGTTTATAAAAACTAGAAAAACACGCTTTTATAAATACACGAAAAAATTCAAAATAAATTATGGATCGTTTAAGTTGTCTCTATTTCTGGGCTGAAGTGTAAATTATGTGCTTTTAATTATAATATTTGATTGTAAAAGCGTGGGGCGCTGGAACTGGAAAGAGTTTTTGTATAACTTGCAAAGAAATTAAGTTAAGCGATGTTACGGGAAGCAGGTTACACAGATTGGCGCTCCAGTAACTGGAGTTGCAGCACGACTATTCGCTTAAATATTCTATTTATTATAATGATGATTATTGCATTACTAATATCTTGATTTTGACTGAGAAACTTTTTGATTTACACAAAAAGTCTTTCCTGTTCTAGCGCCCAACGCTTTTACAGTCAAATATTATAATTAAAAGCACATAATTTTCAGCCCAGAAATAGAGACAACTTGAACGATCCATAATTTATTTTTTGGTTTTTACGTGCATTTATAAAACCGTGTTTTTCTAGTTTTTTTTTTAAACTATTAATTTATTTTATTCTTTTTAGTCTTTGATAAAGAAATACTTGATGTTCCATCATGAAGTTCCAGTTCATATCTTCCGGCTCCATCATCAGATCAGTTCGACAGTACCATTATTGTATTGTCATCAGAACTACATACAGCTGCTAATTTTCATTACGCTAGATTCCTTGAAAGATGGTTAAATTAGTTACCATAGATTCCATTACATAGTTGCATACAGGTCGAACTAATAAAAGCATTTAAAAAAAAAACAGAATATATGAAGACGAATATAACGAGCCCAAACTCGATATGTTTACTAGTAGGCAGTGCAGGATCCATCAGTTACCTTCCAGTCCATCCTCAAGTCCTCGTCATCAGGTGAAATGAATAGAATATGTTAAAGCGAATTTAATGTGCCCATACTCGATATATTTACGAGTAGGCAGTCCAAGGTTCCATCAGCCACCATCCAGTCCCATCATCAGACGAGCTTGCTTGTACCATGATATTCTATTATCATCTAATCTACATATAATTGCCAAGTTTCATGATGATACAAGAATCAGCAGTGTATGTAATTCAGATTCTTAGATTTCATTACAAAGTTACATACAAGTGGACCTAATAAAAGCGTGTTAAACAGGGATCGTCACGGTATCAACTCGAGCCGTTAAGTATTTTTTGTATGAAACTTCCCAATGCAATGCAAACTATCAGAATCGTAACGCAATTGCCTCGCATTGGAACAAGCTCCCGAACGTGCGTGTTCAACTTTCCGTACACTAGCTTACGAAAAATTTAGGAATAATTGTGTTAAAAATACTTCAAGAAAAAATATATTTAGGTTTTTCCACTTTACTGCAATTACTGTAACTTTTTCACAATGATATGCAACACTAAATTTTGTACTTGGTTAAAACAAAAAAGTATTTATATTTTCTCATTTAAGCAATTATTTTTATGCCAAATTATTAAAGGTCCTTTTAGAAGTCACTAAAACAAATTAACTTGTCCCATGCACTGGGCTGAGATCACAGGATACAGAAAATTGCTTTTTTTTAAATGGAGTCGAAATAATGATGTCACTGCCTCCTGCGCCGAGTAACTAGAAATGACGTCAGGCGACATTAGTAGAAGCTCTGCAACATAGCTCAGCTTTGTTTTTGCTTCATAGCTATGACGCTAAGTGTCGCCGCACACGGGCCACCGACCACAACCACAAAACGCCGCCACCGGCATATTAATTGTAGTTTTCATACATTTTATATGGACTCGCCACACACGGTACGCCGGTGACCGCCACACGCTACAAATCGTCGTTGCTCGCTTTTTGTGGCCCGCACCGGCCACTTAATACGCCGATACAAAACGCCGCCACACGTCACTCGCGCGATTCCCCACCCCTCTGTCCTTTACCTTAGTCGGCCGCTGTCGCGAGCTTCAGCCACTTTAGTAGCCGCTTCTAGCTTCTCGTGGCAGCGTTTGTGGCTGTGGCGTGTGGCCCGTGTGCCCGTGTGCATAAGTAGGACACTTAGCGTCATAGCTATGAAGCAAAAACAAAGCGGCGACACTAAGGCACATTATTTTGTTCCTTTCGTGAAATAAATTTTCGACTTTTCTCAATACAATAATTTTCAACCTCATAAAGCGCAAAACATTATGTAATATATTTTGTTAGGCATAAAAAATAAGAATGTTTAAATACCTAAATTAGGAAATTAGGAATAAATTTGTTGTCATAAGTGCCATAATCACGGAGCAACTGAAACAAGTTATTGGTAGAGGTCTACATTTACAGTTCAACATTCGCCACATTGCTGTGATGTGTCGTCCTATAGTCTTGTTTCGAAGTTTCTTGAGTGTAGCGGTGTAGACAAGCAACTATGTTATGCTATTCACCGAGAATGACTGGATCGATAAGTAATTAAACATTGTTCTGTCTAGCTTGAAACTGCTAAAAGCAGGATAGTTGGGACAGATCACTTGCCTTGCCTCTGATCACTCAAGGATGTTATCGACATGGAAATTCAGATGTGAATACGTAATATACCAGGCCACTCAGAAAGTTTTGCGAAATAAAGTTTTTATGTATAAGACACTGTCCACTTGTAATTATTTTGAAAATGTCGATTATTTAAAAGTAAAAATACCACTTTTTGATTTTTAAATTTCCCTCCGCATTTTTTTGAGTGCCAAATAAATGTTTCTTGTCTCATTAAAAAATGGATCTGCATCGAGAACATTTTCGTGCTATGATTTTGTAGGATTTTGAATGTTGCTTAAAACCTGATGAGTCGTTTGATCGATTTCGAACTGCTTTTATGGATGAAGGACTATCAAAAGCAACCATCTACCGCTGCTGTAGCGAGTTCAAACGCGGTTGTCTTACATTGGTTGATGAACAAAGGAGTGGTCTGGTTCAGACGCATGAAAGTTTGTATTGATGCTGGTGGAGAGCTCTTTGAAAAGATTTAATAAAAATATTTTTTTCAAAGAAGTTAGTTTTTTAGTTTCTTAAAACTTTCTGGGTGTGCCAAGTATTATATTCATTAAGTATTATTATTTATATCTTTTTTATATTGCAATATCTGATATATTTTACGCTATAGAATCATCCTTTCTACTAATATTATGAATCTGAAAGTTTCAATATTTGTTACTCAATCACGCAAAAACTACTGACCGGATTTGGATAAAATTTCGTAAGCATATAGCTTATGACCTGAATTGAGACATTAGATATTTTTTATCCCGGAAAAATGTAAGGTTCCCATGGGATTCTTAAAATACTAAGTTTACGCAGACAGTTGCGGGCGCCCTCTAGTGTTTTATTATATCTTTTATTTATTGATTTGTTACAAAAGTTTTTGGCGTTGCGTAGGTATTCTTTTAGTGGGTACAAAACTGACCGTGTTTTGTTTTTAATAGGATCCATTCGAAACATTTGAATGCGGAAGACCTGTCGCTTTACAAATTACAAAATTGAAGGAAAAACAAAGTACTTTGCTTTGAAGTTGAGCAGCAGTTACTGTTGCAGCGAACATTGTTGATCGATTTATTGGTATTTTTCATCTCTTTTCACTCCCTTTCTTTGCCTTTGATTTCTGAGATCCTGACTGGGATATTCTGTCTAGTTTTCTTTTACTAGCTGGCATTTGGATGTTATTTTTAAAACCTTGCTATTTTAAAGTTTCTCACTAAGTACATTCACACTACTATTCTTTAGCTTGCCCTTATTATAAAAAATCGTTATCGCGATACTTTTCGAATAGAACCGCATTTATCTGCATTTTTTTTTATAGATAGGTCCGACAAATGACTCCACCCCACCTGATGTTAAGTGAGGGTTAAGTCCAGACGCGAAGCTAGCTGATACAGCAGTTCTACTTGCCACACCAGCCATCTTTAGCCTTATATATAGCAATTATAGTATGTTAACCCCTTTCAAATTAGACATTTAAAGGACATCTACTAAATCGGCCCTAGCATGCCCAAAAGAATGTCCTTCACTATTACCTTTTTATTATTTTTTTAACATATTAGCAATTAATCATAGTAAGCGGACAATCTGTTTAAAAAAATTAAAAAATAAAGTTCTGTTACTAGATACTACAGTCTATTCATCCAACTTGGCACTTCTTTTTATTGAAAAAACAGCATTAAAAATCAACTGATAACTGGATTCAAAAGGTTTCAGTCTATAATAACGATTTATTTTAATAGTTTATTGGCTTCGTTAATATTTTATTATTAAATGGGTGATTCTGTTAAAAAGTTGTGCCAAGATTGTTTACCTTAATAAATGCATTAGAGGCGACCATAGGTATTTATCAAAAGAAAAATAGAGATACCTTAGT